CAAAGAAAATTTCCTTCAATAGATAAACCTTTCCTTAACTTTTACAATAACGGACTAATACAACATTTGTCCTTTTGCGATTGGCTTATTTCACTGAGCATAATGTCCTCCAAGTTCATCCACGTTATGCGGTGTTTTGCAGATTCTACATTATTCTTTAGTGTTGAATAGTATTCCAGTATGTGTATTACCATAGTTTGGTTATCCATTCCTCAGTTGATGGACATCTAGGTTGTTTCCATCTTTTGACAATTGTAAATAGTGCTGCGATGAACATGGGTGTGCATATATCTGTTCTTGTCATGGCTCTCACTTCTTTAGTTCTTCATTATTCTTTAATGTAGCATAGTATTCCATTGTGTGAATGTACCATAGTTTGGTTATCCATTCATCTATTGATGGGTATTTAGGTTGTTTCCATCTCTTTACTATAGTGAATTGTGTTCTGATGAACATGGGTGTGCATATCTCTGTTCCTGTCCTATCTCTTACCTCTTTAGGATATATACCTAGTAATGGAAATGCTCAATCAAATGGTATTCCCATTTTCAGTTTTTAAGGAAAAGCCATACCATTTTCCACAAAGGTTGTGCCAATTTGCAGTACCACCAGCAGTATATGAGAGTTCCAGTCTCTCTTGTTGAACTTTGCTATTATTGCTGGACTGAGATGATATTTCATTGTTGTTTTGATTTGCATCTCTCTAATGGCTAACGATCATGAGCATTTCCTCATGTGTTTGTTGGCTGCCAGTATATCATCTTTAGTGGAGTGTCTGTTCATGTCTCTTGCCCATTTTTGAATTGGATTATTAGTCTTTTTGGTGTTGAAGTGTTGACGTTTTCTATAAATTTTGGAGATAAGTCCTTTGTCAGATTTTTTTTCCCCTATCAGTATGTTCTCTTTTTACCCTTCTGGAGAAGTCTTCTAATGTGCATAAGAATTTAGTTTTTAAAAGGTCCCAGTCATTTAGCTTCTCCTCCACTGCCTGTACATTTTGGGTCATGCTTGATAGTCTATTTATGCCACCAATTAGGGCCTCTAGACTTGCCCCTATTTTATCTTTGATAAGCTTTATAGTTTGGGGTTTTACATTTAAGTCTTTGATCCAACTTGAGTTTGTTTTTCTATATGGGGTGAGATAAGGGTCTTGTTTCATTTTCTGCAAGTGGATATCCAATTTTGCCAGCACCATTTGTTAAAGAGGCTATCTCTCCCCCCATTTAATAGGTTTTGGTCCTTTGACAAAGATCAGCTGTCCATAGATGGATAGGTTTATTTCTGGGTTTCCAACTCTGTTCCGTTGGTCTATCTGTCTATCATTGTACCAATACCACACTGTTTTAACTACTGTGGCTGTATAGTAGCTTTTGAGATTTGGGAGTGTGAGATCTCCTATTTTGTTTTTCTTCTTTAGCTGTGCTTTGCTTATCCAAGGTCTCTTTCCTTTCCACATGAAACTAATCATTGGTTTTTCCATATCCTTGAAAAATGTTGAAGGTATCTGGATTGAGATTGCATTGAATGTGTAGATTGCTTTGGGTAATAATGACATTTTCACAATATTCAGTCTTCCTATTCATGAACAGGCAAGTTTTTCCATTTCTGTAAATCCTTGTAGTAGTGTCTTGTGCTTTCCTTTGTACATGTCTTTTGAGTCTCTGGTAAGATTTATTCCTAAATGTTTTATCTTTTTGGTAGCTATTGTAAATGGTTATTGTTTTCCTTATTTCCTTTTCAGAGGCCTCTTTGTCAATGTAGAGAAATCCAACTGAGTTTCGTATGTTGACCTTGTATCCTACCACTTTACTGAACCTTTCTATTAGTTCCAGTAAATTTTTTGCTGACTCTTGGGTTTTCTATGTATAGGATCATGTCTTCTGCAAATAAAGATAACTTTACTTCTTCTTTGCCAATTTAAATGCCTTTTATTTCTCTTTCTTGCCTTTTTGTCTTGGCAAGGACTTCTAATACAGTGTTAAATAGAAGTGGTGATAGAGGACATCCTTGTCTGGTTCCTGTTTGCAAGGGGAATGCTTTGAGTCTTTCTCCATTAACAACAATGTTGGCTGTTGGCTTTGCATATATGCCCTTTATTGTGTTGAGGATTTTCCCTTCTATCCCTATTTTGCTGGTAGTTCTGAACAGGAATGGGTGTTAGATTTTATCAAATGCCTTTTCTGCATCAATTGATATGATCATATGGTTCTTTTGTTTTGTTTATGTGGTGAATTACATTGATGGTTTTCCTTATTTTGAACCATCCTTGCATGCCTGGTATGAATCCCCCTTGGACATGATGTATTATTTTTTTTTTATATGTTGTTGGATTCTGTTGGCTAGAATTTTGTTGAAGATTTTTGCATCTATGTTCATGAGGGATATCGGTCTGTAGAAACCTTTCTCTGGTTTTGGTGTCAGTGTTATGCTTGCTTCATAAAATGAATTTGGGAGTATCCCATCTTTATCTGTGTTCTGGAGTAGTTTGAGTAGTGGAGGTGCCAAGATTCCCCAGGTGATTCTTATGTGTACATGAGAAAGGTTCAAAACCCACTGCCATCAAGTTGATTCCAACTCTTGGCAACCCTATACGATGGAGTAGAACTGCCCATAGGCTTTTCAAGGCTTTAAATCTTTATGGTAGCAGACTGCCTCATCTTTCTCTCATGGAGCAGCTGGTGAATTCCAACCACTGACCTTTTGGTGAGCAGCCCAATGTTTTAACTACTGTGCCACCAGAGCTCCTTAAGAAAGGTTCAAATCCCTGTCAAGACCCCTATAAACCAAACCCACTGCTATCAAGTCCCTTCTGACTCATAGTGACCCCTTAGGGCAGAGTAGAACTGCCCCCATAGAGTTTCCAAGGCTGTAAATCTTTACAGAAGCAGACTGTCCCATCTTTCTCCCATAGAATATCTGGTGGGTTTGAACTGCTGACCTTTTGGTGAATAGCCAAATACTTAAACCATTATGCCACTAGAGCTCCTTTTAAAACACCTAGGATCAGAGAATCTCAGAGCCTCCAGCATTCCATTGAAAGGATCTCCAGTAAACACTTTTACTCACTCCAAAGTTTTTTTGTTTTGTTTTCTTTTGACAAATCCTAGGATTTCAGAGCTAAAATAGATCCTAGGTCAGGGGTTAGCAAACTGTGGCCCATGAGCCAAATCAGAAATCCGGACAGGATTATCTATGTACATATTGTCTGTGACTGCTTTCACTCTACAAAGGCAGAGTTGAGTAGTTGTGAAAGTAAGTGACTGGTCCACCAAGCCTCAAATATTATTTTCTTTCTGGCTCTTTACAGAAAAGTTTGTAGACCTTGCCTTTGCTCATCTAGCTGTTTCTTAATTAGCTTGAATTCAGGAACATACAATCTCAATTTTTCCAATGCAATTTTGATTTTGCCTACTGAATCCCACTATCTTCAAGTTATTGAATCCGGGTGGAATTTAAGGCACTTGACTGCTAACCAGAAGGCTGGTGGTTCAAACCCACCAACCATTCCTCGGAAGGAAGATGGGGCAATCTACTTCCATAGTGATACT